ATTATTAATTATTTTTACTATTAATAATTATTGAGTTGGGCTAGAGACGAAAATTTTGAATATTACATAGATATAAGGCAAAAAACATTAATTTTTTGCCTTATCTAGAGTTTATTTTCTGAATTTAACAATGTCGAAATTATTCATCTCAAAAGACCGAAAAACTGAAATTTCATTTCAGAACGACAATTCCGGACGACAATTGCGGATATAAAATTTAAAAAAAAAAATAAGGTTTTTTTAGTTTTGAGTGTCGCATCAGTCTGGAAATGATTCGGAAACCGTCAGAAGTCGGAATTGACAAAAAAGGATTTTATTTCAATAATTTTTGGAATTCTTTAGCAATTTTAAATCCTTAATTGTCATATCCGCAATTCCCTTAACTCCAAACGGTCAACAAATTTAACCAAAGGGTTATTGGTATAGGGGGGGGGGGGGTTTTACCCGAAAAATGTCCGGGTTGTTATTTTAATTAAAAATAATTAAATATAATAATTCAGAAATAAACAGAAAAATACTTCATTCTCGTTTATTAAAAAATGCTTTATCATCTAATAAAGAAAATTGTAAAGAAAGAAATAAAAATAATAATAAATTTAAAGAAATTGAAGAAAAGAATAATGAGAAGGATGATAGTAATCAAAGAGGAATTGATGAAGCTTCCTCTGTTTCTTCAACAATTTCTTCGACTAATGACCAAAATTTAGATTTAATTACACAAGTGTTTAACACAAATGTTTTGTTAAATGGTATTTTTGAATATTTTAAATTTCGTTCCCATCTTTTTCCAGAAATTTTCCTCATAAGAGATTTTCCTTTAGTAAAGCAGCTGGGCTATAGCTCTTTCTCTCCTTTAGCTAGTGCAAAAGGTTATTCGCGGCTGGGAGCGAACCAGCATCTTCAGTTGACCGGACTGATGTGTTAGCCATGACACCACGCCGCCTACTGCTCAGCCTTAGGAAATTTTCCTTCCTCATTAAAACATTTTAAGGACGAAAAAATATTGGGAGCGAAATTAAAGATTACTCTAATTTATAATAAATTTTAGAAATTTTTTATGAAAATAAAAAGAGAGACTTGAATAAAAATTTTGAAATATTATTTTCTCAATATTTTGTAGAAAAAGACGAAAAACAAAAAGAAAATATTATAAAATTAATTGATATTGTTATATTAATGAAAAACATTTTGGAAGTTTTAAATGTTTTTGAAGATAATTTAGGGGAAAATAAAATAAACTTGGAAACTTTAACAGAAACAAGTTTTAGACAAACAAGTTGCAACTTTTTTAATAAATTGAGAAAAAGTTGGTCAAGTTTTACAAAACAAGTTTTAACAAGTTTAACAACAGAAAACATTAATATTGATGTTTTGTTGGGGAAAATGTTGAATGTTTATAGGTTTTTAAGTTTTGGAATGTTTTACAACTTGGAAATTAATAAAAAGTTTGTAGAAAATTTTGAGAGAATATTGTAAGTTTTTGTTCAAGTTTTTATTTAAATATTTACATTTAGACAACAACAAACAAGTTTAAAAACTCCAAACAACCAAAACAACCTAAATAAAGCAAGACAAGATTATTTACTAAAACAACTTCGTCTAAAAACAATTTCTATATTTTTAGCTAAAAATACAAATAAAATAATTTTTGAAAACAAAAATTATTTAATATTTGAAAAGGACAAATTTTTGAAATTTTTTGGAAATTTTATTGAAGAAGATGGAATTATTAATTTAGAATTTTTTGAAAAAATAAATTATTTATTTAAAGAAAAAAATGAGGAAAATAATAAAAATAAAATGATTAATTTTGTTGAGGAGGATGACTTTAATCTGAAAAAATTTGTAAAAGAATTGTTGAATAAAATTGAAAGACAAATAAATATAATAGATCAGGAAAAGCTAGGTAAACACAGGATAGATTTTTTAAAGACGAAATAACATCCTTCGAAAATCGAAACTTATTTTAGTTAATTTTTTTGACTCATCACTAATTAAAAATAAAATTTGCCTGTTCTAAATAAATATCTAAAGCAGGAAAGTCCCGGAGATGCCTTGGCAATAGTTTCGGGGGGCAACGTCACTATACTGTATGATAAACCAGATTTGTCTTTTCCAGCCTAGTTTTTATTTGGATCAGGATATCCAGATCCACCAAATTTACTATCAAATACCTAACAATATAAAAATATTTATAAATTAATTTAGATAAGACTTTAATTCAACAAATGACAGAAATATTTGAAGATAATATATTTAAACCCCCAAAATCAAACTTAAACATAATTGTTCCTACTAAAGCATCACAAAATGAGGAGGTTATTTTTAGCGGAATTTTGAATAATTTTTATTTACTTTTATTTTAAAGCTTCACAATTATTTAAACTCAATTTATACGAGTAGTAATAATGAAATAAATAAAAAGAAAAAATTTGTGACAGAATGGTTAGAAAGAAAATTCAAAAATTGGTTAGGAACTATATGCAATGATCAATTAGGAGATAATGAAAGTAATAAAAAAATAATTTTAAGTGATTGGGATTGAAATAATAAAATTATTTTAGCCCTGATATTAATTAAAATCTTGTTCTAAAACTGTACAAGCCTGAAATTTTTCAGAGCCTCAAGACCAATCTTTCCAAGAACCTCGGATTCAGAACTGCCAAAATTCAGAATTGCGAGTTTTTGGAACCCACAAATTATTGAACAAAATTTTACAATTTTTATTTAGGCTATAAAATGATAACTGGAGGCTCAACATTTCTCGAAACAGCAGGGCCAGATTCTGATTTGGACATTATTTTTATTTTTCCACAAAAATGTTTATGTCCTCCCCCAAATATTTTGGCAGATTGTGGAAAATGTCAAAAAAATGGAAATATTCGTTTTTGTACAAAACATGATTTATTTTTTGGATCGAATGTCCAATCATTTGCTTTTTATTTAAAAAATGAAATTTATAATGTGGAAACTATTGAGGAATTTCAATTTAAGGTGAAAATTAGTTTGCAATAAAGATTCGATAAGACAATAAAAATATCGGTTATCCTAGCTTGAAAGAGAATATTTTTCAGGGCCGAAATTTCTTCGCCAAAGGTTGACGATCCAAAAATAGTACTTGCCCGCTAAATCTTTCCTGGAAGCCCTCTAAATCTTTTTTGTATCCGGTGTCGGTTTCGAAAATCGGAACTTTTGACACCTTTGTCAGCTTTAGTAATTTTGATTTTTCAATTTGATTTTTGTTTAGTTATTTTTTAAAAATAATTTCTTTAAACAAATTAAATTTTAAATAATTAAGGGATATTCAATGTCTGATACATATATAAACTCAATAGAAAATGCCAGAGTTCCAATAGTATCAATTTCAATATCCGGAGTAGAAATGGATATAATGGCTGCACCCATTCCTTTAAATAATATTCCCGATAATTTTGGTTTAACAAATATAGAAAATGAAAAAATTGTTAATAAAAATAATAAATTATTAAATGAATTAATTGACGGAATGATCAAACAAAATGATCAATTTTATAATAAAAGTATTTTGGTTTTGACAGGTAAATAATTATAATTTGCTCTCCCTAAAGACGATTATTTAATAAGTTAAAACTACCAATTAAAGTTTAGAAATTTAATTTTATTAAAATTATTCTCAAAAACTTAAGTTCATAAACTTAGTTTTTACAAACTTTGTTTTTCAAACAAAGTTTCACAAACTTAATTTACAACCTTGATTTTATTAAACTTTGTCTTTACAAACTTATTTTTCAAAAACTTTGTTTTGGTCTAAAATTCACAAACCTATAAAACTTAAGTTTATAAACTTAACTAACTAACTTAGTTTTTACTAAATAACTTAAGTTTTAGAGTTTTGACTTGTTACTACATCAAGCATTTAAGGATTAAATTTATACTTTTATTCAGGCTTTAGAATCGCCTATCGAAACAAATCCAAATTTATCCAATCTGAAATACAATCATCACTCTTTGTTGATTTAATGAGAGCTGTTAAATTATGGGCAAAAAGTTTTGTATAATTAAAAAGAAATTTTAAAAATTATTTTTAAGGAAAACAAATTTATTCTAATGTTTTTGGTTATTTAAGTGGAACTATTTTAACGATTATGGCTACAAAAATTAATTTGTTATATGATACTGGAGGATTAACATTTTTATTGCAACAATTCTTTAAATTTTATAGTGAATGGTTTGTTAAGCTATAATATTTTAATTGGTATCTACAAACTTGTTTGTATTTTTGTTTTGTTTATTTGCAACTTGTTTGTATTTTTGTTTTGTTTATTTGCAACTTGTTTGTATTTTTGTTTTGTTTATTTGCAACTTATTTGTATTTTTGTTTTGTTTATTTGCAACTTGTTTGTATTTTTGTTTTGTTTATTTGCAACTTGTTTGTATTTTTGTTTTGTTTATTTGCAACTTGTTTGTATTTTTGTTTTGTTTATTTGCAACTTGTTTGTATTTTTGTTTTGTTTATTTGCAACTTATTTGTATTTTTGTTTTGTTTATTTGCAACTTGTTTGTATTTTTGTTTTGTTTATTTGCAACTTGTTTGTATTTTTGTTTTGTTTATTTGCAACTTGTTTGTATTTTTGTTTTGTTTATTTGCAACTTATTTGTATTTTTGTTTTGTTTATTTGCAACTTGTTTGTATTTTTGTTTTGTTTATTTGCAACTTGTTTGTATTTTTGTTTTGTTTATTTGCAACTTATTTGTATTTTTGTTTTGTTTATTTGCAACTTGTTTGTATTTCTTAGTTAGTTGTAATTTTGTCTGTTATATTTTTATTAAGTTTGATGTTTGTAAAAACAAGTTTGTAAAACTATTATTACAATCTTATTTTTAGGCAATGGCCACTTCCTGTTTTAATTGAGCCCTTAATTAATCAAGAATTAATAAAAACAAAATATTTAAGCAAAGAAAATAATTATTTAATTGATTCTTGGAATTTATCAAATATCAAAGAAACACCCCCTTCAGTAATGCCAATAATTTCCTCTCAATTTCCCGAACAAAATGTTGCTTTTAATGTTAATGAATTTACAAAAAATATAATTTTAAGAGAAATTAAAAAAGATTCTGATAATTTTAAAAACGCTAAACATTTAAATAAAGAATTTTGGCAAAACAAAATATTTAAAAAAATAAATTTAAAATTAATTTACAAACATTTTATTTTGGTTATTTGTACAGAAATTAATGAAAATAATTATTTTGGAAATTTTAAATGTGGATTATTAAAAACAAAATTAAGATTAATATTTAAAGATTGGGCAGAAAAAATTAAAAATGGAAAAATAAATTTAAAAGAATATCATTCAATTTCTGGATTTGAGAGAGAAAGGAAATGTAAAAGAATTAAGTAAGTTTATTTTTTGTAAACTTTAAGTAGTTGTTTCTTAAAAATAAACTTGAAGAAACTTAAGTTTGAGAGAGAAAAACAAGTTTATTATTTAATAAAGAATAAGTTTAGCAAAACAAAGTTTTTAAAAACCTTGAAGAAACTTAAGTTTGCGATTAAAAACTTAAGTTTTAAAGTTGTTTAAAAAACTTAAGTTTTTTAATATAATTTTTAAATTAAAGTGGTATTGATGAGCATTGGACGGTTTGGTTAGTTGGAATAAATTTGGAAAATAATGAAGAAAATATTGATAAACAAAAGGAATTGTTATTAACAATTAATGAACATTTTTGGAAAATTAATAAAAAAGAAAATTGGTTAAATGCTATTTATGTTAATCAAAATAATTTAAAAAATATGTGGGTATATTTACGGGATTATTAGACATACAAGTCCAATCAAAATTCATAATTCCAATAAAAATATTAAAAATTAAGAACATATTTCAATATCCATATGAATTTTGATTGTACTCCCATCTAAAATAATAGTAAAAATTTTTGTTTTTAGGATTGATTCCATTTTTAATTCAATTAATTGTCCTGAAATAAATGAACTAAAGATTGGTGAGTTAGAATGTTTTTTGACTTTATGTATATAAAAACTTTTCTCAATTAAATTTCAAACCGTGTTTTTGTAGAAAATTAATTAACAATCTAAAATTCTTCTTTCAAATTTAATTTCCTATTAAATTTTGTTTTTAGTACAGACCTGGATTTTATTATAAATTTAATTTTTCACAATTCCTACATAATAGCTTACAAATTTATTTTTTGTCAAATTACTCGATAATAAATTAAATTATTTTAGATAACATTTTTGAACGTCAATATAACAATTTTAACAAAAACTTTTACCAACTAATTCCAAATACCCAAACAATTATCGAAAAATGTAATAAAATTATTGAAAGGAAAGAAGAAATTACTGGTGAAAATGAAGAGGAAAATAATTTTAAAAAAGATTTAAATAATTTTATTAAAATTCCTTTAAATATTGGTGAAATACCTAAGGTAATTTATTAATATTTTTTCTCAAAAAAAATATTTTTAAAAGGAAAATAAATTTAAAATTTATAAAAAATATGAGAGTAATTCAAAAATAGAAGAAGCAAAGTTTACAGAAAAGAGACAAAATAAAAAAGAAAAGACAAAAATTAGTTGGAATGAATTTGTTAAAAATTAATTTACATATTATTTGAATTAACGTAAATGCTGAAATAATTAGTCTGGGTAATTATTGCTTTATTGTCTCGTTGGAGAGGTAATTAATAGGGAGGATATGCTGGATTTGGGGTATATTTCAATCCAATTTAATTGAAATTTTATTTATTTTTTGATGTTGAGTCTTGAAATCTTTCAATAATTAAATTTGATAATATTTTTTAAAATATTTTTAAAATTAGAGTAGGAAAACTAGAGGGTAATTATCTGGGAGAGAGTAGTTATTTCAGCATTTACGATATGTATATTATAGGTTTTATTTGGAATTTTTGTTTTTGAATATTTTATGGAGAATTTTATTATTTTTCAATTAATCTATATTTATTGTCATAAAAATTTATTTCACTAAATTCCCCAAAAACAAATCGACTAAATGGCATTCTTTGACCATTTTTCTATTTTTTAATTGTGCCCAGAAATACATTATTTCTTTATACATTATATGAGTGTTTGTACTATGTACATTTGTATATAATTTATATGTGAGATAAAACTGAATTTGCCAAATAAATGCAACATTAATTAAAGAATAAGGAAAGGAGACTATTGCCCACATTTTATAGATTTTCACAAAATTTTCTTTCAAATTCTTTCCCAATTTTTTCAGTAAGTGGTCATAGTTTATCACCATTCTATTATAGGAGATTCGATTACGTATATGAACTGCGGTTCTATTAGGACATTTACTGTATCTTCCAAAAACGCCGGTTAAATTTATTTTTTCACAGTTAATAGATATCAAATTATATTTTTATGAAAAATTATTAGCGATTTAATTGTTATTTATTTTTATTTAATTCTGTATTTACTCCAAAATTTACTTCAACGAAAATAGCTAACAAATAAATAAATACTAATTTTGTTTAGGATTTACTATTTATTTTCTCTCCCTAATTCCACTACATATATTTCACTTTTTATTTTCTTCATTTTACTTTATATATTTGTGCTTTTTGTGAATTTAATATAGCAAGCTAGAAAATACATATATCCAATAAATTATTATAGCAGAAAGTAGGTTAAGAGGTTTTTAAAAATTATTTTTATTTTTTTAATTAAGAAATTTATTATTGAAATTTAGAATGATTTTTCAGGAAATTTGAGATTAATACCTGCGACGAAAAAAAAATATTTTAGACCCCTGAAACCCCCCCCCCCCCCAAAATTTTCTTCTGCGGCGCTAAAAATGTAACGAAATATGAGCGTGGACACATTCAATTTTTTCAAAATTTTGCGGCACTGCTCTCCTTTAAAAATCTTTCCTTTCCGGATATTCGAAGATTTTCCACGACTCGACAGCCCTATGTACCACTATCCCCCCTATATTTATCATTATACGAATTTTTGGATTCAATCAGGATAACTGACCATTTAATCCGAATTCAATAGGGCAACTATGATCGATCCTAACTCGATGCACCTTTCTTTTTGAAACTGACATCATTCACTTGGGCCAACGGGACGCGCCATATAATCACTAGGCATTTGTTTATTTTAGAAGGTGTGGGGCATACATAAATGATAAATATACTTTCGATTCTCTTCTTATTCGTTTTTGTTATTTTTTTAATTTCGATAAGAAATAAAAAAATATATAAGAAATATTTTCTAAATTTGAAAAATCAAGTTTCTCATTTTCAAAATTTTTATAAAAAAATTTTTTCTGCAATCTCACCACCATTTCATGACTAAACTCATTCATTTTAGTATACTCTTAAATTCTTTGTTCTTTACTTCTCTCTTTTCTCATTTTTAATCATTCACGTGCACTCCCCTTCCCCCATTGTGTTAGTCACCTCCTCTAGCAGTATATTTTTCATACATCCTCCTTTTTAAAAATCAATGTTCCTTTTCATTTTCTTAAAAATTGTTTAAAAAAATATTTTTTAGTTTAATAATTTTTTTATTAAAAAATTTTTTCATTAAAATAAATATGTAGATAGGTCCGGAATGTTGGAGAGTTTTGTAATATATTCCTGATAATATTTGGTTGGGTTCTTAAATTTTTCTACTCCTTTCCAAATTGAAATGCTTGAAACGCTTCGACTCCGAACATTTCATAGTCATGGCTTCGAAGCTGCCAGCTTTTTCAGTTTAGCACCGACCTTCCTTAAGATATTGAAATTACCCTTTCCAATGTTTTATAGTCGAAATTGAAATTTGATTTTCGGGATAACTTTTATTTTACTATTTCATTTTAAATTTTAGTCTCCTGTTTTAAACCTTGAAACAAATGTTTTGTCTCGCCTTTTAGTTTTTGCTTACACCAATATTTTTAGGATTAATTTAGAATATATCCAATTATTTTCTGTTAAACACTTTTGTCTCGGTGTAGAAGCTTTCAACTTTATTTACTACACCTTTTAAGGATTTTCCCCTGCCAGGGTTATTATCACTCACTAATTCTGAAGCATACAAAGCAGGGATGTCACGGGTTACCCGAAACCCGATACCCGCAACCCGAAACCCGGCCTTTTTTTCGACCCGATACCCGAAACCCGATCCGAGAAATTTTCTAAAACCCGACCCGAAACCCGACCCGAGAATTTTTATTTTTCAAAACCCGACCCGAAACCCGACCCGAGTTTTCTCGAAATTTTCGCCCGCGTCGCAGAAAAAGGGAAGATTTTTAGCTTAATGATCTTCCAAAATTCTGAAAATTTTCGCCTGCGGCGCTGAAAAAGGAAGAAATCTGGCTTCAGACCTTCAATAATTCTCAAAATTTTCGCCTGCGGCGCTGAGAAGGGAAGATTTTTGGCTTTTTGGCCTTCCAAAATTCTCAAAATTTTGGCTTTTTTCGACCCGAAACCCGAAACCCGATCCGAAGAAAATTTTGAAAACCCGATCCGAAACCCGACCCGACTTTTTGCTCAACCCGAAACCCGAAACCCGATCCGAGAAAAATTTTGGAAATCCGACCCGAAACCCGACCCGACATTTTTCTCAACCCGTGACATCCCTGATACAAAGCACAGTTCATTGTTTTAATTGTTGAAAGAATTTTTATTTTTTCCTCTAAAAAATCAATTGTTTAAAATATTTTTTACTCTAAAAATACTCTCCATTTATTTTTATTTCCTACTTTTTTCATAGGATTTTCCACTCATTACTCCACCTGTCATCTTACATAGTAGTACTTTAAATATATTTATTTGTGGTTATAAACTCTTTTCGTATTTTTATATTCTTCATTTATTTTGGACATTAAACGGTTAGATATCAAATTTTAACAATTATTTTTATCACTCTCTAAATTAAAAAAAATTTGGCGCCCATCTCAATTAAATTTCTGTTCGATTATTACAACAAAATATAAGGAAAAAGCAGATATACACCCAAAAATATATAACGGCAACAAACCAACACATATTCTTCTACTATTTCTTTTACTTTAAAATCAAGGCCAAGCAGAGAATTTGTGGGTAGAAAAGACTAAACCGTTGTGGGGGGATTTTGGGGGGAAATAAATAAATAAATATATTTTTTTATATAATTTTCTTCTTCATTCTCGGTAATGGATTTATTTATACATTTCTTTTTTCTTTCAATTATTTAACAATTTCTGATTCAATTCACTCAATTTACAGGGTGCGGCAAATTTAGAGCACTTTTTCTTTTTGCCATAACTTTTTTCAAAATTGATAAAAATTGATAATTCTTTTTTTATTTTATTCATAACACTCTAGCAAACTTGTTGATACCAAATATCGAAAATTTGGTTAATTAATAGTAAAGATAAGTGACTCCGAACGTCTGAAAAATTTAAAAACATTTTTCATGCCAAAGTTTGACTGATCATAACTTCGTTCAAAATCATTCAATCCCAATGATTTTGGTACCAAACTACTCCTCTCGTTTAGTAGCATTGAAAAAGAGAATAATATTATTTTTGAAAATTTTATCCAAAAATTTTATATTTTCCAAATTTTCTTTAATTTATCATTCATAGATCCGTAACTCCGTTCATTTAAGTGGTAGCCGCCTGATTTTTACGTCATTCAAATTGGATTGAAGAGCTGATTCGAATGATATAAAAATCTCCAATATAAAAATAATATTAGTGAATTTAGGTCAATTTTTATCAGAAAAATTTTGCTCAAATTTTGACGGAAAAATTAATCTGTCTGTAATATAAAATTCATATGCATTTTGGTATCAACA